CAGTCGCAAACTTGAGCGTCACAAACGGAGGTAAGAGGGCGTAGCGGTCAGTCCATTTGATCGGACGGCCAACATCAAAGGGAAGACGGGACGTCAATGCTCTTCTTCATGGCGCCGCACCAGGCGACGGTCACAATGAAAAACAAGTTGTGAGGGTATCAAAAATTACGCCAGGGTCGGCCCCGAAGGACAAACCAGAACGGTCAGCGCCACGGTGTGCAATGCAGGCCTCCCATTCTCTGGCCGCGCCTTCATGATCGCGCGACTCAGCCAACAAGGTAAGTATGAAGAAGAAAAGAGAGGAAAATTTCGAAAAGGAACGGGAGGTCCAGAGGTTTATAAAGCAGAGAAAGTGGGGCACTCAGCCATTTTGTGAATTGAATTAGGCAGGCGGTGTGCGTATTGCCCAAATTGGTCTTGGCCCGTGCTCCGCGACATTTCGGGGGTGGCTCGGCGCCTCGGCACGTGCTCGGGCAATTCATCAGCGGCATTGACCCTGAACAAGCATCGAGCGCAAAACTCACGCTGCATTTCAACGCCACCACATTGACATTCCTTGGTCCCTCAAATTGTCCACTTCCAACTTTATCTTCAGTACTACCATTCAATGTTCCCCGCCCGAAGGATGGGCGCTGGCGATCATGGGATTCCCTTGTCCCACCTTCCTATCAGGGGAAGCATGAAGGTTGGGGAAATCAGCTGCCCCCCAGCCAGTAGGACAGACTGCCGAAATTTCCTCTGGCCATCCTTGCCACCGCCTTCCAAGTCCGGCGCCAGCGATGAAGCCGACAAGCGAAAGCGGTCCATTGGCCAATTAGCCGTGGTCACCCTTGCATTGAGTGACGTGCCGGAGCCACGTCCACACAACGACGCACCACCCGACGGCACTGCCGACCCACCAATATCAAAGCTTGCAACGCACCTCGATCCCAGCAACACAATATGATGTGACCTCGGGCAACGCCAGATTCGGGATTCTCAATGGCAGCATCTCCAGCCTCCAGCCTGTTTCCTTGCTCATCGTGTTGCTTTTCTCGGTTGCTGACCAAAGTCTTGTATTTTACGGTTCGAGTCAAGGACGTATACAATATCACAAACATTAGGTAAACCTGGGCCGAGTCCCTGACAAGAGGGGGTTCCCTTGCGTGGAGCGGCCACGCGCCTGGAATCGCCGCTCCCGCAACGTTTCATTTTGTTAGAACCTGTTCTTGGCCTGCTTGCCTAGCGCCGTCGGACAACGGCCAGAGCTCCAGAAACGGGGGGATCAGTTGCTCGACTGGGCAGGTGTTGGTGGCTCGGCCTCCCCCCGCACCACTATCTGTCTACCCGAATAAATGCAATGCAGGTTGACAAGGTTCCGTGCGACGCATGTACGCTAGCCTCCGGCAGTGCAACCCCGTGACTGACTGGTGCAGGTAGGTACCTCCTTGGGAGCCTTTATGTATTCTCCGGGTTGCCAGGTTCCGTGTCGATCGGCAGGCTTCCCAAGCTGCCATGTTCTTTGGCACCCAGCTATGAAGGGGCGGCCAGCAGCGCATCATGTCGGACCATGACAGCAAGTCGGAAGGCGTCGTCGGCGTGTATGCTGAAAAGAAGGAGACCGGCCGCGACTCTCCGGCCTCGGACCCGCTCTTCCCACCGCCCGAGTGGCTAGAGCGCCTCAAGGCCGAGTACACAGGCCAACATGACGGCGAGGCCCTCCCCGCCGGCTGCGACCCGGACCGCATGGCGACCTCGGTCCTGACACACCCCGCGCCCGAGGCCGTCCAGGTTCTCCGAGACCTCCTCGAGAGCCAAAAGGACGACTTTACCATCGACAAAAAGATGATGGCGCGCTGCCGCGAGCTTGTCGAGGGAAATGAGGCCTGCGGCATGGAGTATGGCGAGTGGTCCTATGAGGTGTGCAAGCGGGCCGGCCTCTACCACAACTGGTCTCCCTACACCGAAGTCAGGGCGGTGACGCTCCCTTACGACGATCCCGAAGAGGCGTGCGAGAGCTTCAGAGCATATGTGCTGGGGTACTTTTGGGTGTGCGTGTGCACTGCCATTAATACTTGTAGGTTGTCATTTGCCCACCTCCCTATTTACATACCAATCCTGCGCAATCCCCATGATTTATATAACATCGCCGGCTCCATTATTTGCGACTGGGTGCGATCGTGCCACCATTGGGATTGCTAACGCCTGCGCCATGTGTAGTCTTCGCTCCACGCCAACCGGGCATCTCGATTCCAGGCTCCGTCGTTCAGTTGCTGCTGGTGCCCATGGGCCGCGCGATGGCCTATCTCCTGCCTGATTGGGGCTTCAAATGGCGTGGCACGCGCTATACAATAAATCCGTACGTGAGCTTTTTCTGTCGAAACCATTGGCCATTGATGTTCTCCTTTTCATCCCATCATCCATTGGACGCTCTCATCTTCCAAGGCTGACTTGAAGCAAGTGGACCGTGGACGTCTAAGGAGCAGCTTTTCGCCACCATCATCTTCAGCGGCGCCAGCACCATCGGAAACTTCACGGGGCTCCTCGTCCTTCGCCTGCCCATCTTCTTCAACCAGCGCTGGGCCGGCTTCGGCTTCAACATCCTGCTGGCGCTCGCCAACCAGGTGTACGGAATGGGCATGGCAGGGATCCTTCGCCGCCTCAGTGTGTACCCCATCGAAGCCGTATGGCCGGGGAACTTGCCGACCTTGGCCCTGAACCGCACCCTGATAAACTACGACAATAAGCGGGAGAAGATCAATGGCTGGACTATGACGAGGTACAGACTCTTTGTATGGTCAGGCGTCATCTTCCTAATCTACTACTGGATTCCCAACCAGGTATGTTGCCTTGTAATTTCACTTCACTGTGCCGCTGCACACACGCTAATCAGCCGCCTACCAAACAGTTCTTCGTTGGCCTTCGGCTCTTTAATTGGATGACGTGGATATCTCCAAACAACTTCAATCTCGCCACCGTCACGGGCTCGTACGGTGGCATGGGCTTCAACCCGTTCTCGACTTTCGACCCAAACGTATCTGGAAGCACAGTAACCAGTGCCCCCTTCTTCGCCCAGCTTCAGCAGTATGTGATGCGGGTTATAGCCGGCATTGTCATCCTGATCATGGTATGTGTACCCTCATATCTTCTCCCCTTGTTCTAGCAGCCACAGGATGAAATGCTGATAGCCAAGCGCTTTAGTACTACACCAACGCCTTCTGGTCTGCCTTTATGCCCATCAATTCCAACGGCGCCTTTGACAACAAGCAACAGCAGTACAACATCTCCCGTGTGCTTGGCAGCAACAATCAAGTCGACAAGGCCAAATACCTGGAATACGGACCTCCTTACTACGCGATCGCCAACCTTGTCGTGACCGGGGGGAATTTTATTTACTACACGTTTTCCATCGTTTACGTCTTCACCAAGTTCTGGAGGCCGATCAAGAAGGCGTTCGTCGGCATCGTCGTCAACACCATCAAGCGGCGGAGCATCTACACGGGCTTCACCGACGGCCACACGCGCATGATGCGCCGATACAAGGAAGTCCCCGAGTGGTGGTACGGCATCGTCTTTGCCTTCGGGTTCGCCGTGTCCATCATCAGCCTGACCGCCTTCCCCACCGGGACCCCCTGGTGGTCCATCCTCGGCATCACGGGCATTGGCGCCCTGCTCACCATCCCCTGGGTCGTCATCGAGTCCATCGCCAACACGGGGATTCAGCTCAACGTCATCTGGCAGGTGCTGCCCGGTATCTGGTTCCCGGGCCAGCCGCTGCCGCAGCTCGTCATCCTGATGCTCGGCGCTGCATTTGAGCAGATGGCGGGCGGCTTCTCCGCGGACCTCAAGTACGCCCACTACGCCAAGATCCCGCCCCGGGCCGTCTTCCGCGGCCACGTCTCGTCTGTCTTCGTCAACTGCTTCATCTACTGCGCCATGATCGAGTTGATGGTGTTTTACTTTAACGAGGACAACACGCTATGCGAATGGTCGAATAAGAACGCGATGGCAAGTTTGGCAATCTTGTTTCTTCCATCTCAGGGGTTAACTACTATGCGCTATTCCCCCATGCTGTCTATGTCACTCACTAACATAATCTGGAGGCTTACAGGTCTGTGCTTATGCGCACTCTGTCTGGTCGTAAGTGCCCAGCTCATCCTTCTTTGCTTCGTTCTGATGATCCCCTCGCTCTACCCTGCCCGAGTATCTAAGCTGACGACTTTGGAAGTTCCGTCATTTTCTTCGGCGCCTTTGGCACAAACAACATGTTCAAGCTGTACCCGATGCTGCCGTGGTGCTTCCTCATCGGCGCCGTGCTCGGCGTGGTCTGGATAGCGGGCGAGAAGCTGCTCCCGCGGCTGCGGCCCCGGATCGAGGCGCGCATGGAGCCCGCGCGATTCCTCACCTTCGACCGGTTCGTGTGGAAGCCCGCGGCCCAGACGCTCGCGTGCCTCAACCCGGCCATCGCGCTGTCGGGCGCGCTCGCGTGGGCGGGCAACAACAACCTGACGTACGCGACCCTGGGCATCTACCTCGCCTGGTTCTTCCAGTACTACCTCAAGCGCCGCTATACGGCGTGGTGGGGCAAGTACGCCTACCTCGTCTTCGCGGGCCTGACGGTCGGCGTCGCCATCTCCGGGCTCATCGTCACCTTTGTGTTTTCCTTTGGCGCCGGCAAGGGCGTCAACTGGTCCTGGTGGGGCAACGACGTCGCGCGCCAGGGGGTCGACTTTGAGCTGTACAACAACAAGGGCTCGCTGATGCCCTTGCCCGAGAGAGGGTATTTTGGGCTCTCCCCGGAGGAGTATCCGACGGCGTGGTGAGGATGCGGTGGAGCTGTGGATATGAGGGAGGGGAGCGAAGGGGAGGGGTGTACGAATGTTTGATAAAAATATCCCCGCTGATTTCCCTTTTCGTGGAGGTAATGGATGCCTGAGTACATCTCTTATTGCGACGCGTTGGACCACGACGCCGGGTGCAAGTGAGAATATAGACAAATGGATCAATCATGCTTAGCACATACGACCATACCCACTGAAATATACGGCATCCCGTCCGCTCCCCCTAGTTAAAACAGTGAGGGCTTGTTTGATGCTTTTGGTGAGTCTGGAGCAATTGGGAACCGGGCGCCTGCTAGCCAACCCAAGTCCGTCGTTTCATTGGCACGAGATAAGTTGGCACGAGAAAACTTGGCCAGAGAGAATTTGGCTAAAGGTAATTTGGCACGAGAAAACTCGGCAAGAGAGAATTTGGCAAGAGAGAACTTGGCACGAGAAAACTCGGCAAGAGAGAATTTGGCAAGAGGTAATTTGGCACGAGAAAACTCGGCAAGAGAGAATTCGGCAAGAGAGAGTTTGGCACGAGATAACTTGACTGCAACAGCCACTTGACGGAGCCTGCTGCCCAGCCACTAGCTGCAGGCAGCTCAACTCAAGACTCGACGTCCGCCTCACCGCATCAGCTTTTTCAGCCATTAGTAACTCCTGTTGACATTCGTAATCGAAAAGGACTTGACAATCTCGGCTTTTGTCGCGAAAGTCGACGAGATTCGGCGGGCGGCGGCGGAGGCAAAACAGGCCAATGCCAACGTGGAGGAGAAGGGCAAAGCCAGCACCACTGGGTGCTTCATAATCCAAAGCATCCCAGGAACCCCCCCCCCCCGGTTCACCCGGGCTCACCTCCCTACTTATACCTTATCCGCAGTACTTTACCCACTAGCTAATCTACTTGCAGCTTGCCAAACTATTCCTGCCTACCTGCAGCCTACTCCAGCTGCCGCTTTTTAAAATCTGTGTGAAAAATCCCGCGCCGGAAAGCATTTACTTTCTTTGCGAATTGCACGGCTGCATCAAGGTAACGGCTGAAACACCAAGAAGTGAGGCTGGATATGGTAAAATCTGCCAACAACAAGAGCAGCGGGTGAGTGTTCATAGCCCGAGCCGAAGGAAAGAAAAGAAAAGACAATAAAACGGTAATAATTGGCGAGAGAAGCAAGGAGAAAATAAACCCGGAAAAAATGCATGTCAAATGTACGGGCAGAATAACTGCGACGAGAAAATCCCTGGGTACGACGAGAAATCTACCAAAGCGAGGCAGCGAAGGACGAAATAAGGGCAGAAACGTCCGCAATCCTGACCCTCGTCATTCCTTCCATAGCCCTTCTACTCCTTGACCTTCTTCTCGCTGCCCTTCCCCTCACCGTCCTCCTTCTCGCTGTCCTTTTTGCCGTTGTCCGTCTCGTGGGGCGGCGCGCTCTCGGATTCACCGCCAGGCTTGTTATCTGCTTGCTGGCCCTCGTTTCTGGCATCGCTTCCGTCGAAACTCTCGAAGCCTCTGTGTGCCCCAGGGGCAGAAGTCTTCTGCAGCTTCAAGTCTAAGCCAACCGAGCCCGAGTCCGGGCCCGAATCCGAGTCCAAGCCTAGGTCCGAAGCGAGGGTAGGCCCAGTTCGGCGGTTTTCCCGGATCTGCTGGGGCATATAGCCCCTCGCACCCTCGAAGCCAGAGGCCCTCTCCGACGGACGGTCCATCGGCACTGCTGTCAGTCTGTCCGGGCGCGACTGGATGGGCCAAGCAAACGAGGAATCCAAACCGCCCTGATTGCGATCCAGTGCATAGCTCTGCTCGATGCCCAGAGTTTGACGACCCGGGAAACTCTGGAACTCTGCGTCGCTTTGCAACGCGAATGGTCCAGCTGGCGATTCTATGCGGTGCTGTTGGGTGGCAGTGTTATTTGTCGCCCAGTATCCCGGAGTGGAGTCTGACAAGCCGCGATACTGCTGTGCGTCGCTGGCGCGAGTCTGGCTCTGGTGCTTGAGGATGGCGAGTTCTGCCTGCAGCTTACTGATCCTCTCGTCCTTGGCGTCCAGTAGGCTTTTCAGGAGATTGTTCTCCGCCGCAGATATCTTGTTTTGCTCGTCCCTCTGGGACAGTGCCTTTGCCATATCTGCGTTGCGGCGGGTGAGTTCTTGCAGCCGGTTTTGCGTTTCCATCTGAAACTCATCTGATTTCAGCCTGGCTATCTCATCCTTTGCTGCCTTGAGCTCTGCCGCATGTGGTGCATCTACTGGCCCACCATGGGCCTTCAGCCCGGCCAGTTCAGCCACTGCCGCCGATAGTTCTGCCTCCCGTTTCGTGTGGCACGTCCGCAGATCGTTATTCTCGCTGGTTAGCTTGGCCATGGCCGCCGAGAGCTCTGCCTCCCGTTTCCTATGGCTCGTTTGCGTCTCGTTGAGGTCCTTGGCGAGCAACTTCAGATGTGCGGACGTTTGGTCTTGGTGGCGTCTGAAGATTTCCGAGTACGGTGGACCGAGTCTGAAAGTTGATCCAGCCGCATCCTTAAACCCAATTGCGACCTGAGGCCTGCTGATCGATGTGCTGTCGCCCGGAGTATTCTCTTGCTTTTTCCGGGCCCCGGCTGAAGACGGGCTGTTCTCGGGCCGCTTCCGCTTCGCGCCCGCATCCCCTTCCGAAACCGGTCCGGGTGTGGACGGCGGCTTGGGTGGCTGGGTAGGGTTGGGCGGCGGGGCGGGCTTGGGGAGTTGGCTGGACTTGGG